CCCGACGTCTGCTTCAACTTTCTGTCTTCAGTAGTGAGTACCCCACGTGAGACCACGAAAAATCGGCCATACTTTGACTAGCCTCACGCTTCGTCAGGCGATGGACGTTTTACATGTTGCTGAAAGCTGTCCGCCCGTCTTGTTCATGGTCTTCCAAATGACCGCTTTCTCCCCGTCAGAGCACGTTGTGTAGCCTGTTTAAAATTGTATACTTTGTTTTGAGCGTGTGTGTACTCTGCGACTTGACATACGCAGTTCTCGAGACGTTCTGATGACGTAAACGCAATAAAGTGTCTCGTTATCAGGCAAATTTAACGACGCACGTCGCTGATGGTTTTGTCAGTCCAGAAATCAAATTACGTCGTTTTAAACTTCGTATCTGACTGTCTGGGTGCTGAGGTTAGGTTAGGTTAGGTTCGGACAGCCGAAAAAGCAGGCTGAGATCAATTTGTCATGCAGAATGCATGGGGAACCAGTAAAATATGCAAAATTTTTGATGGGAGACGCAGACGGGCGACGAGCGTCGCAGTGAAGAACGCTTTGACGAGAAGCCGTGAAATTTCTCAAAGTGCAGTTTCTTTACTGTCTTCAGTCAGCGAAGTCGCTGTTGCACTCAGCTGTAAGTGGGACAGGAGAAAAGTGAAAGACGGCGTTTCTGTTGACTTCGTTTCGAGCAGAGTTCAGAACTGCCAGCACCAGGCAACGGTCGCCGATTTGCCCCCCGGTTACGGCGTTGCCCAACTCCTGATTCAGTTCGTGAGCGAGAACGCGCTGACTGCCGAGCGTCAGAGGATTTTGCTTTCCAGGTCGGAGACGACGTTGGCAGCGGGAATCGTGGTGCCCCCTAACCAAAGGTTGGGATCTGCAGCGCCAAAGCCTCTGTTTCTCACGCAGAGAACTATTTAAAGTGAATTTGTGCCCCCTCTCTCTCTCTCTCTCTCTCTCTCTTCTGTTTTCTGAAGGCAGGGAATCTGACGCCGCGGTTCAGATCCCGACAGGGCACTGCGTCCTGCCCTGACCTGTGTCAGGCATTTTGAGTTTCGACCGGGTCTCGAGTCCACCCAGCTTCTGACCGAGAGCAAAGACGGCCGGAGCTTTATCCGTTCTGTTTGTGTGTGAATCGCAGAGGAGCGGCCGTGTCGGGCGGGCGAGTTCCAGTGCTCTGCGGGCGTGTGTGTCCCCCAGGCGTGGGTGTGCGACGGACGGACCGACTGCCCCGATTTGTCGGACGAGAGGAACTGCTCGCAGTGTACGTAAGAAGTCTGTTGTTGTCTTGGTTACAGAGGAGAAGGTGTGCAGTCCGGAGGAGTTCTCGTGTCGCTCTGCCCCAGGCGAGTGCGTGCCCCTGACGTGGATGTGCGACGATAATCCCGACTGCTCGGATGAGTCCGTTAGGTATAATTTACCGACGTTTCAGAGCTCCTAGCTGCCTCCATCATCAGGGCACGTCATCGCGACTCACGGCGCTACAATCCAGAAGAGAGTCATCATCGTACTCACCGCCGTGAGAACCCCAAATCCTGCTTGGTGCATGCACCTGTTTGCTCAGACTACGAGGAATCTTCAAGGTCGTGGAAACGGGAATTTGTTCTTCAAGAGGAGACTAGATTCGGGGAACGCGTTTTACCCGTTGTTTTGTATGGTTGTGAAACTTGGTTTCTTACGTTGAGTAAAGTCTGGGGGTTTGAGAACAGGGTGCCCGTGGGGGGGGGGGGGGGTACCGGGGG